CACAGAGCAGGCTTGTCGTACGCTGAGGGCTTATAGAAAGAAGCTTTCCTCTACGGAGCCATTAAGCGAAGACGTCATCTTCGAAATCGACCAAGAGCTGCGCCTGACAGCGGCCGCGCTCGGTGACAGGGCAACGAGGACCAAAGCCATGCACGACTCGGCCCTCCTGAGCGGTCTCCTAGACCAGTATGAGGAGCGTCTGGCCTCCATGCTTGACGAAAAACTGCGGAATACCTTCCAAGGAAGAGAGGTACAAACTCCGAGTGAGGAGCGAGAAGAAGAGCTCCTGGCCGTGCGGCCTGACACTGCCGGCGGCGAAACCACCTCTACATCATTCCCTTAACACACTCTCATTGTTTCATTACATTAATACTTTCGACCGAACCCGCATTGTACAACACCGGCTGGATATAACGGCGTTATCTGGAGAAGAACACCGGCGTTTGGGGGCAGATGAATTATCGACCTACTTTACAGCACAAAGTCCAGATGTGCTTGGCCCTGGACTTTGGGGATATCGCAGGCGGAAAGGGGCATCATAACCCCTACTTTCGGATTGTCGGCAAATTTTTTCTATCTGTTTATGCATCACTCTTTCGACACAAGACCAGCGACTTTTTTCTTTTTTTTCTTCGATTCGCGAGAGCGAGAGACATCCGTTACATACATCAAAAGATCACGGAGTCCCAAAGAGGAAGGGGCGGCGAACTGGAGCCAGGAGTTTTCAACGTGCCCAAGGACATAATGGGACAGAATAGCGGGAGGGCCCTGGGGAGGTCAGGGAATTGGGGGGATGACATACTATTTACACTACACCCGGGGTACCTTACTTTGGACACCGTGGATATGAACAAAAGGGGGCGAGGAAATTTGGATGCCGATTCTTGGCAGCTTTTTGCAATCTTGACTACTTGATCTTTTGGGTTTGCTCTCTTGGGTTTCCATCTTTACGTATTTGGCCTCTTTTTCTTATTCCTAGAGGCACGGGGAATACAACATGACGAGGTGTACCTCGTCGTTGACCAACTACAACTACTGTCTTGATCGATCGAACTCACAAGTGAATCCGCTTTGGTTTGATGCGGTGACTGATCTAGCCAAGCCAAGCTACTCTATGAGGTCACACACAGCTTTCCCCCTGAATGTCTGATGTGACTTTGAATCAAGTTAAGGCAGTGTCAAATTCGCATCGAGTTTATCATGTACATACAAAGTGAAAAAACTGAAGGGGCCCTCCTTCTTCCTCGAATAGACTGCCTCCTCTGTTGGAGCCAGGTAGCAACAGCCTGCCCGCTTGCCTGAGGTACCATGGTCCCCGGTTGGAATGAGACATCGCGGTTCTCACCATGCCCCTCGCACCTTCCTCCTCCCAAACCTTCATCCGATAAACTTTCCCACCACCACCTGAATACACAACCCGAATAACCGAGAGCAAGCCTTCATATACCCCCTCAGCTCCAATCCAGTCACCAGCCAGCAGGCGCCCGTCTAGGTCGACGGGTCAGGTCAAACTGGCTGGGTGGTGGAGTGGTCTATGTTCAACATCAATTATCTACGCCAACCAGCCTACTCGACGACAGGCTAAGCGCATACGAGAAGTACCCGAGTTCGAGTCCCGGAATGAGCACCAAAATTTCCCAGCATGAGCACCAAGAGATGTAGCCCCCAGTCCAGCACCGGGGGGGGTGAACTCTTTTGTCTTTTTGGGTGATGGGGATAGTGAAAAGTCTCTGTAAATTGCTTCGCGGAAGAGAAGAAAAAAACGGTGGTGCCGTGTTCCAGAAAATAAATGTTTTTCTATCCAACGCCCGCGAATGAATCTCCTTGTTCTGTCTGGTTCCATCTGCCCTGCCTTGTAAACCCACCATCACCTTGTGTGGTATGTACGATCCCACCACATCATCGTAATCAAACAGCGAGCCCCTCTTCCAACGCCTCGTCCCGCTCCAGCTTCTCGAGCCCCGTTGCCACGGCACCGTATACACGTAGAGGGACTGCGACCTCGAAGCTCTCGCACGCCAAATTCTCTACTGCCACGAGCACTAGACCTCCGCGCTCGTCCCGAGATATTTCTTCTAGTAATGGGTGCGTGCTAGGGGCCTCACGCTCCAGCTCGGTCTCCTGGCTCGGCACCACGAATTCGACGCGAATCTTCCATTCGAATGAGATACCTGTCGTGACGAACTCTGGTGTCGCAGTAATGGGGATGGTCGGAGTGAAGACCATTCTCCGCGAGTAGAGGGTTGCCTCCGAGGCGGATACGTGGACTTTCCGTGTGACGCGGTGAATCGAGGCTTCTGAGCGGATGGCCAGGTGCGGCTCCACTCGCTCGGCCGACTCGAGACAGGAATGAACCGCGTAGCAGGGAATCTCGGCGTCTGTGAAGTCGATGGCCATAGTAACGACTTCGCCCAGACGGTACGAGGGGCGTGTTAGCATCACGACACCCACACGCTGTCCGTTGCGGGCAATCTCGAAGCGGTTCGGGCTTTGCTGACCCTCGGAAGTCAGGTTACTGCGCATGATAGCTAGGTTAATGGCTTCTGTGGCCGTTGTCGCCTCCTCAAATACCGATGGACGCCGAGAGCTGGGGTATGCCGTGGGCGATAGCAGCCCTGCGTTGGATCCCTGCCGCGGCCGTGTTAGGAGCTCGTCGACATATACGAGGAATTCATTAATTGTTGCGTCAGTCTTGGTCGTTTTCAGCTTCTTGATCTCGCTGAGGGTCGACAGCTTATCAACAGTCTTGATTTTCGCTTGGTCGCGAAGTATAATGTATGGGTTCATGAGATCATGACCAAGAATCTCTCCATGGCTGTTCACACTGCCGAGGACTCGGAAAGGGATCTCGACGGAGCGCACCTGCTGCTCTTTAGAGCCGCCTGCTCGTTGTGTGCCGATCACTAGATTGTAAGAGATCTTCACCGCTTTTCCCTTATGTGTCGGCGGTAAGCCCTTCGGGAGCTGAAATGAATACTCGAAAGCTTTGTGCTCCCCGGGAGCCAGGTTCAGGTCCACAAACAAGATGGACTGTGGAGTCGACAGCAGAGGGACAGATTTGGCGCTAGCGATGCCGCGCATATCTTTAATGCTGCTGACCTCGCCGGCTCCAAGCAGCTCTCCGATTGAGTTGCTGATACTCCCCCATCCGAAACTTCGAAGCAGTCCACTATCCCGTTTCGAAGGCTCCACACCAATGACACCACCTCCTTGACCGCCGACAACGGCCTTTCGCTTGACCTGTTCAAACGGCCCGAGGTTGATAAGTGAGCCATCCAGGGTGAATGAGCCTTGAATCTGAGCGTAACCCATCATCAACGATTCCGGTTGCCTCGGGTTATGTGAGGCAAAGTTGGAAGACTTTCGAAAATGCGGCGGCCGCATAGGGCCCCGTGTGGGTTGAGTTGGATATTCAGATGCCAGAGTTTCCGTAGAATTATTGCTCATTGAGTAGAATTCCCCACTGCTGCGTGGCGTTCCTCCGCCCATGCTTGTCGTCGATAGTATTCGCATGGCTGGTGTAGGATGCTCGATAGGGTTGGTGAGTACACCATCCTTATTCCGTATAGCGAGGGTTGGAGGCACTTCGGTGTTTGGACTCAATAGCCCATCGTGGTGTGACGCTACTGGGGTGCTTTGCGTGTCCGACAGTGGCGACTGGACCATTGGAAACCGAAAGTCGGCCAGCGCGTTGGAAGGCGATCTCATGGGACGTTGTGAGCCTGCCACGGCAGGGGTATTCGGTGCGGTCGAAGATCGCGAGTTAGAGGGAGGTGTGTCGGAAGCGGATGTCGAGTTGAACAAAGGTGAGCTTATGTGCCTCGGCGATGCTGCAATGGAGTTAGTAATTGCACCCTGCATCAATATTAGGAATTAGAATACTGACCAGAGTGAGGCGCCGTGAGACCGAGCCCTAGAGCAGCTCCCCGAGGCACAATCTGGAGACTGGATGCCCGAGCATGGCCACGGCCAGGCCGATGCGCCTTTACGGAGCTCGCGTTACTCTGATTGTCGTCGGGTACGGTGCTTGTGGAACCAATCGACACAATAGAAACGGACTTCTTGTGGCCATTCCCACGGTGTTCAAGAGCGCTTGGAGGATGTGATGGTGTCCACGGTACTGAGCCCGCGCGGCTTCGCGATTGAGCGACTGGTACGTTGAGGGATAGAGCAGATCGGTGACCGCGGGTTTGTGCTGAGTTCGGCGGGGTCAAGCCAGCGCTAGACTTGCCTCTTAGCAAGGGCGAGACATGCCTCGGTCGGTCTACAGGTGCGAGTCGTTGGGACTGCCGTTGCTGATTCGGATCGCGAGCAATGTTCTTGAAGGTGATGGTGCATTTGATCTCCTCGCCAGCGAAGACGGTCTGGTCGTGCCAGCGGATAAAGACTCGAATGTTGCTGGAGGCCTCTGGAGACATGATGGCGCTCGTCCGGACGGAGGGGAGGGGAGAGGATCGATTGAGGCTGCAACGAATCAAGTAGTCATCACATGTCTCGTATCAACCATCGTCGCGTCTAACTTTGTGAATTGGAGATGGACAAGGAGTCCTGACAGGTGCATTGAACGTCATGGGCTCTCCGAGTTGGCGGGAGATGGAAGTTGAGCGAGCTGGGCTAGCTCCAGCGTTGCTGCGAGTCGGGCGGGCCCCATTCGGCGCGCGCTGCAGGGGTGGGATCCACGTCCCCGTTTCCTTTCACAGTTCTAGCGTCACTGTCACCTCGGCGCCTTACCTCAGCAGTCCGGCCCTCTGATTCGGGGACGGCAAGGACGGAAAGCGGAGCGGTACGTACCCACCCTCATGAATGTCACTTACACGATCTCAACACCACACCTTCAAGGGATTCTAATCCAACCGATAGCTAGATATTTGAGTATCTATGTCGTTTAAACATGGATAATTCTCTCATAATTCTTACGCTTAATGTTGCAGTAGTCCTCAAAAAGACATAGTTCCATTCACTCCAGACCTTACCATGGCTGGCCGCTGGATATCTCTTCGAGTAGGAAGGAGGCAGGTGCCTGCCTTCTGGGCGCACCTTCCACTGTCCATAAAATCACCAACTTAAGACGGGAGCAGAATCCACAATGATGGAAGGTATGAACTGGGAGGTGACGAGCTTCTCGTCTACACCTGCCCCAAAGTCACTCACCTCTTCTGCATCCTCTCTCGCCCACACTTCTTCGTCTTCCACCAGGGCACTTCTCAAAGTATTTTCCATTTCTCTTCTCCATTCCACATCAGTCCTTTCTCTGGGGGCTCACGATTTCACATTTTCCTACCAGTATTTTGTTCAAAAGACAAACATTCCCAGGCTGTGGTTTTCCCTGTCATTGTTTCTTCTTTTCCTCGTCGGAATCTTCACAGTCATTCAATTTCTACTCACATCTTCAGAAAGCCCACCCTCTACATCACGAATCGAATTAGGCTTCCTTCCAACATGGCCATCATCGATAGCCTCCCCGCTGTCAGCGTTTCTGTTCGCCTCAAGAAAGCCTACCGAGACGCTGACGAATACCCCGACCCGTATCCATACCATGAGCATGAGAGATACATGGACGACTACGAGCAGTGTGCCCGCAACTACATTGAGAGTAGGGAAGGCACCGAGTTCTCAGTACACGTCAATGTCTTGGACGATGCCACCATTGATCCCTGGGTCCATCACGACGAAGGTTTGGTTTTCCTTCTCTTCCTCGACGGCCACTTCATGGGAAAGCGATTCTGCTACGATGATGACTTCAAACATGGAGGCTGGCACTTTGCCTTCAAAGGCAAGAGACATCCCAACCGGGATAGAACTGCCATGGTTGAGAGTAACTTCAAGTTCCAGACGATTACTGCAGGTAAACCCACCCCATCAGTTGACTGTTGGCAATATCTGATGCTTATCTTTCCACAAAGTTGACCAAGACGCTACTGATGGCGAATTGAGACGTGCCAAAGATCTTGGCACAATCGAGATGCGCGTCAGACTTGCCAGGTTCGCTGGCGGTCCACGCCGTAACAGACGTGTCAATTTGGAGAGACCGTTCCGCGAGCCGGAGTACAACAAGTGCGAGATCTCAGAGGAAGCTATCAAGGGCCGACCTATCTATCATGCCACTTCGTATGCAACAGTTTCCTGCTGAAAATGTACCCATCACACTAAACATGTCTTCGCAGCTTCACCCCACCGGTGAACAAGAGTCTACGGCCTCCCAGCTTTGCCCATCGAGGAGCGATAGAGCGGATTCGCACTGGTCCTCTCTTTGCGACCTACACATTCAAGTATCGCTCGCGAGGTATGTGCCTATATGTTACAAGCGTGTCTTTGTATTGATGCGGGACTAATCGTGATAAAGATGCGCTGAAGATTGAGGAGATCCTTCACCAGACCCCCAGCCCTGAGCCTGCCCCAGAGCCTTTTTCCCGTCAGCAACAGGCCTACTTGGGAAAATCGAGCCTTCCTAGATTCGAGGACCTTCATGAAGACGAGGTCGAGCGTCTTGCTCGAGAGAGACACCAACAGCTTCAAGTAAGGTGATGATTGACTCTAAAGGGTTTGTAGACTGACATCTCCACCAGGCTGAGCAAGCGCAGCCTTCGGCTCAGAAGAATAAACGGAGCTATGACGACTTCTGTGATCTTACGGATGGCGCTTATGAGCAGTTGGCCCGTCCTTACAAGATCATCAAGCTGGGAAATGGCCATGACGCTATTGATCTCACGGGCAGCTACTAGAGATGTAGGCCAGGAGATCGTGCGTTTGTTGTAAAGACGGAACCATCACAGAACGGAGGTCACTGGAAGAGTCTTGTTCGTCAAATCAAGCCTTTGTCGGGGTGGTGAATTCACAGGCCGAAGTTCACTGTAGTGAATGGAGGCCCCCAAATGAAGACAGTTCGTACGAGGGAGATTGTTTGGTTGAAAGGAAGTTGACATTGCTTTGATAGAAGACTTGGTTCGAGGGACCAGGTGGAGGAGCAGTGGAACTCTCATCAGAAAGCTCGCTCCCGGACCACCATGAGTTATGTTACATACAAAAGTTCTCAAGTGTGCAGGTATTTTGTTGTCGTTCTATGTGATTTTGGGTGCGAAGTTGTCCACAACAGGGATTTGACTGCTGAAGAGTCTCTTCTCGCATTCGTGAGAGAGGTGCTATTACGAGTAGTGAGGCAAATTACTGATACTATTATAATAGATCTCTGCACTGATGGCTCCCTCGCCATACGGTGGCTCAGTTAGGCCTCATCACCCGACCCACGGCAATTAGACATGGCCCAAAGCCCGTCTGCGAACTTTCCATCCTACAGATACCCCACGATTCGAATCATGGAAGGCAGAAGGAACATATTGTTTTCTTCTACAGGAAGGTACACCTCGGGCCTTCCTGGCTAACTTAACCACTGACATGCTGCAGGTCGAACGTTTCCAGCCACAACCCTGCCTCGTTCGTCGATCTCAAGCTGGGTTGAGTTGCAGAAGTACGATCACACCTACAAACCACGAGAATACTTCTCTTTCAACAAAATAGGGTAATGGCAGGCTTCGACTTCAACATCAACATGCGAGTGGTGGTTACCGTCGCTGGTGCTCCAGCTCAGGAACGAAACGACGTGACAGCAGAGAGCCTCGAAGATAACGCCCCATTCAGCTGCAGCAAAATCATCGCTGTCAAGGAGGGAGCGAAATTTTCCATTCTGGCTTCTCCTGGTTCGGGAATTTGTCGCCTCCTTGCCAAGGATGAGGGGCTGATGGTGCTGATTTACTTTGACGACAATGAGGTTCTTCGACGGTTGTATACGAAGACCGTGATCGATGCCCGGGCATCGCGCCGATTCCCCATGGAGTTCTTTGGAGTTACGGGAGTGAATAGTGAAGGCCAACAGGTCTTGCAGCCTTTCAAGTTTGCCACGGCCAAGAAAGACGGTAGCGCGATTCGAGGTACCATTCGCGTTGATTTATACATCGTCAAGCTACTTGGTTCACCGGAGAGGCAGCGACTCGACGATACTACTGCATGTGGATCATCAGTTCAGATCAAACAGTAAGTCATAAGCACAGCCCGCTCATATATGCCAAAGAACGTTTGATGACAGCGGAATTCAGCTTGGGACCAGGGAAGAAAGTCAAGAAAGCCCTAGCGGCGGACACATACGACGTGAAGCGGCTCAACTACGAGCGCCCTATCGCTCGGTTCAACTTCAGATATGGACCAAGAGGTCTGTAAATTTCCTAGTCGAGTTGACCTTTCCCCAAGACTGACTCTACTCAGGAAACTTGCCTGTACACCGGCCCAAGGACAATAATGAGAGCAATCGCGGTGAGGGCTTGATCAATATGTCCAAGAATCCAGCTCTTTCAAAGCAGGGGTCAGGCGGAGTCAGAGGCGCTGACGCCAAGAGACCCTCCTCTTCACTGCCTGCGAAGCTCCGTTGTCTGCCGGTAGCCCCTGCACAGACACAGACAACCACGGATACGAAATCTGCCTCAACGACTACTGCCTTAGCCGACAAGGGAGATAAGCTTGACTCTCAAATGAACAAACGATTCATTCCTATCCGACCCAAGCTTCCACAGCCCACCGCGAAGGAGCAGAAGCTTCGGAGAGAGATACCGAACGACGAGCCCGTCTCGATTCAAGAGACTCGGTCGAAAGACGCTCCACTCAACAGAAAGAGGTCTGCCGCGGTGGCGTTCGGCAAAGACTCACCTTCAAGACCCAAGAAGTTTCTCGCTACTTCTACGTACTGAGAATTAGAGGTCATAGCTCGAATAGGAGACGTTGCTAGACGCGGGGTGGAAGTTCTTTGGCATGGAAGCGGGAAAGGAGTGGTCCGAATGAGGGATCGATGTTGAGGAGCGGACTCTTACGGGCCTTCCGCCCAGTGAAGAAGAGTGGCTCAGGTAGATACAGCGGCTGTGTTTATAACTCGGTGGATCTGACTAAAAGAGGCAAGGTGTACACTGAAGGGCCAAGTAGGTAGATTCCGTGTGCAAGATTGGCATCAATAGCAATGAGATACGAGCTACTGCCACCGATTTTGACGCTTCCTGTAATGGAAACTTGTGTGATGGGTTTAAACCGAAGATGAATCATAGCGCGATGAAAGATGAGAAGCCATGCGTCTGCTTTGCTTCGATGACGCCTACATCCAGAAATGTAATCCGGTAGTACCGGGCTGGTAAGAAGCCTCCTAAGAGAGGCTTCTGCAGAGTTGGAAAGTTCCTTGGTAACCTATATTATGCTGGGCTCAACTTCGTTACATCAGCCATAACGAACCACGTCTAGGGATTGTCATTGAGATATGCGGTCTGCTTATATATCTTCTTCGAGGCACATCTTCTGCTTATCCCGTCATTGTGATCATTTATCATGTCTCTCGTTCCAGCGATTCTTCCAACGATTTCATTGCCGTCGACCAAAAGATAAACCACCAGTTGGTTGTCGCCTATGACCCAGTCCGGGCGGTTCTGAATCTTGTAATGAATAGAGAATCTGGAATCGACCTGGCTTTCGATGACTTTGGAGGTTGTATGAGTAGCCGATCCCAAAGATGCTGGAACATCCGGATGATCTGGATAGTCGTACTCGATGCAGTCATCCTCAGATCCGTTGACACGGATGGATACCTTGATCTCAGGGAGGTCATCAATCACCGCCATAGTCTCTCTGAGTCGTGGTCGTGAAAATGGTGTTTTGAGAATGAGCAAGGCCTCTGGATTTTAGCGATCCGCATTAGGAGACTGGTGAATTCGGATAAGTTTGAGTTCCTGGGCGAGCAATCAGAAGTATGAGGAGAGTGAGTAAAGCAGAAGAAATGAGGAGAGTAGAAGGAAGGAAGGAGATTAGAAGGAAGAAGGAGATTAGAAATATGGGACAAAGAGCTAAACGGAAAGTGCCTTGAACGGCAAGAAGCAAGCCCGCTGAAACAGCAAGCACGCTGGTCGAGAAGAATCCAGTATCAGCATCTCAAGGCGGCCATATTCCACCGTATTTCACCAAATCAAAGTGCCTCACTGATTTGATATCTCGTGACTCAATAGAAAAGTCCCTCAAACTTAACCATGACAAGGGTGTGGTCGCTTTGAAAGACCACGCGCCAAGAAGACGCCCAAGTGAACCATAGGCACCCTAACCGCATCAGGTTCGTCTCATAAGCCGAAGTACTTCACCTCGTTAGTAAACAAGTCAAGAGTTGGCAATGACAGCATCGTAACTATGGTCAATGGCCCTCCTGAATACCAGTGTGTATAAATCAAAATCTGAAAATCTACATAATACCTTAAAGACTGTCTAGAGAGATCAAAAAGAGTTCACCACCGATGTGGCTACATCTCTTAGTGCCCATGCTGGGATTCGAACTCGTAGCCTGTCGTCGAGTACCTTAGGCTGTCGGCGTTTTTATTGTTGGATCCTTAACCTCTCCATCACCCAGCCAGTTTGACCTGACCCGTCGACCTAGACGGGCGACTGCTGGCTGGTGGCAGGAAGGGTATTCAAGGGGTGTATATGGCCTTCTCGTATGATCTAGAGGGTCTTGAATCCCTGACCAGACCCAGCGGTCTTTGGTATACGTACCTTATCTCAAGGCATCGGCCACGTAGCGCTCGTCCAGTCTCTTGATTTCTCACACCTTGCCATCTCTAACACTCTTTTCCGCCGAATTACCGGTATCGAAGAGAGACTATGTCATCCGGGAGCCCTGCTCGTCGCGCCATACGTGAAGCATCACTTTGTTGCTTTACGGCCTCGACACCTTGAGATAGGGGTAAAATTGTGCTCTCAATTCCCCTGATCTATCTACTCAGGAGTTTGCCAGCATACATTCAGATGATCTTTTTTATCTAAGAAATTTTGAAGACTACTACGATTATTGTTTTTTGTTGTTCTTTAATTGTCATAATACGCTCTCTTAAGCGAACTATACAGTATAGAAAATAAAAAGTATTTCTAATAGTAGTAATAATGGCATCAGTTGGAGCAAGTATAGGAGCAATGATAGGAGCAATAGCAGCAGTAGCAGGAGTAGGAGCAGTAGGTACCTTAATGGGATCAGGAGAAATAGAGGTAAGGTATTGAGCGGCAAGCTATTGTGTCACCCAGTTGGTGCATTCTTGGATGATGGGCCGGTGGCTTGCCGGAGTCCACTCTTGGCCGTTGGTGCAGCGGGATCTACCCGCCGGCGTGCCCCAGAGTTATTTAGCGATGTCTGATACCCCGAGCAGACTACGGCCCATTTAGTTCATCAATGAAGGAACGCGGGAAGGACCCGTTTGCCAACTGTAAAGACGTCGAGTTTTCTTTCTGTCCCTACCTAACTTAGAGCAACTTAATGCGGGCGGCTTGTTTCGGCTTGGCAGTACCTGTAGGCAATTATTGACGAAGCTTTGGCGAATAAACATGTATCGGGAAAGTGCCAGCTGCTTCACTTACAGTTGGCAGCATGGTACCCCACTTCTGCCTGAACAATGAAGAACAGCCAATCAGGCAGCGAGCGCACATCGGTGTAAGGCAACCCCCACCTAATAATTGCCTTTTCAGTCGCGTTCGCACCTTCTTCCTCCCCATCTTCACGTGGGTCTAAACGTCTCATTCCAGATTGACTTCATTCCACTTTTCTCTCATCACCGTACATACGCCTTAGCTTAATCCAACGACAAAACCACTCGGACCACCACCCTCTTCTCTTTCGGCGGGTCATTCAAGTGGACTGGTGAGACTGTGATGCAAGATGGCTGTCATCGACGAGCTCAAGGGTGTGAAAGTCACCGTCCAAGTCAACGGCCAAGAAGCCATTGAGTACGACGACCCGGATGGCTTGGAGAACGACGTCAACCGCAAGCACGCAACTCACCGTACTTTCAACTACATTGAGTCCAAGGACGATACCTGCTTCACCGTAAAGTACGAGGTTGGCAACATGCACCGGTGGGAGAGCCCGAAGAGCGCCTTCTCACTCTACTTATATGTCGACGGCAAGCGCATGGACAGTGTCGTTTGCGAGGCGAGTCGCTTCAACCAATTCGCTCCATCTTACAAATGGAGCACAGTTGTTGAGGGTTCTCGAGGAAGCTCAAGAGACCCCTCTTACGATCGTCTGAGCAAATTCAAGTTCTCCCAAGTCACTACTGGTAAAGTTGTTGAATCTTGGCGGTGCCATGGGTATGTGAGAATTAACATGCGTCTTAGTTGACGATGCCACCAAGGAGCGCGTCGAGGGAGACTCTCAGAAGGCAAAGTCCCTCGGCGTCATCGAGGTCTTTGTTTACCCCTTGACCATCACAGGGCCTTCGTACTCGTCAGGCCACGAGCACTACCGCGACAATCAGAATTCCACTTTCAATATTGCGGAAAAGGCGCTCAAGGGCCGCGCAGTCTCTCACGGGACCTCGTGAGTTGCATTTTCTCGCTATGTGACAATTCTGACTGTGCTTACATGCTTCATAGCTTCACTGACGGTGGATTTGTTTCCAAGAGGAAGTCAGTGTGCGCTGAATATCTCAACGGCGGTAATCCTATCGCGTGCTTCATGTTCAAATACCGTTCCAGAGGTATGAGGCGATAAGCAAGCCAGCTCTCTTCTTACTTAGCTCACACTTTCTCAGATGCATTGCAAAAAGAGCTCATCATTCCTCGGTCCCCAAGCCCCGAGGCCATTGACGAGCTTTCTGAGGCCGATATCAGACGGCTAGCTGCGGAGCGTCTGGACGAAATTAACGTGTGTCTCAGCCTTCCCGCTTCACAGAGAACCCAGGACTGACTCGGCGCAGAATGGACGTCGATCTGGCACCGTCAAGCAAGAGAGAAAGGGCCCTATCATTAAACGCGAGTTTGCCGAGATCTACGACCTCACCGAGGAGCCTGCCAAACGCGAATGGAAGAAGATCAAGATCGACGTCAACAGAGAGGCTATTGACCTTACCGACGACTAGGCGTATGAGTTTCTTGAATGTACTCTCTTGGTATTTGTTCTTCGCCAGTGTGCAGAGAACGATGTTACGAGCACGGCCCTCAATTTTTCGGCGCAACGTTTCTTTCGGAGGCCAAATGGTGTATTTCGGGTTTTTATTCAGCGGAGCTTCAGGGACCTTATGAATTTTCCAGCCGCAGTCAGGAAGCATGGGAGTGTCTTCAGACTGGAGAGTTGAGGACGCCAGCCTCACCATGATTCTAATGCGAGCAGCTTATCGTTTTTTTAATTAGGAGTTCAGGGGCAAGGCGCCAGTTTATACCCTCTTGTTGCACTTTATCCCGCCCCTCGATGAGTAGTCAGTTCGGAAAAGGGAGACTAAACGCAGATTTGCTTGTATGAAATATCAAAATGATAATTGATTGCTTTTCCAGTCTGCCAAAATCCTTCTCTGCCTCTGTGTCCGTAAAATACCAACATTTCTAACCAATCCCCCCTTATCCCATGACTATATCCTCATTTTCCTGGACATCCATGCTTTCTTGTTTTGCTGCAGTCTTCTCCGCCTTGAGTATTCTGACTGCCGCCTCCGCGGCTTTAACCTTGACCTCGTCTCTAGATATCCCACCGTCAACCTCGACAACGCACCGCTCGCCAACCATGACCTTGCACGAGAACCGCTTCTCACCATTGTCGACGTCTTGCACGTCCAAAACGTACGTCACAGTCTTATTGTCCGCCAAATGACCCAACTCCTCCTTGGGATGTAATACGTGCACGCTATCTCTTACTATACGATCAAGGTACGCCAAAATGCCAAACCGCTCCACGACACCAGCGCAAATGTCCAGATCCCCGGAGTCGATGTAGACGGCGCCGAGAAGGGACTCAAAGATATCAGAGTAGAACTTTCGCAGCTGCATGCGCGCCATGAGGGCCCAGGGGTACGTCGTGCCGCGTTCCATCGCCTCGACCATCTCGCCCCTGAGCGCGGCGTGCCGCTTCGTGACGTTGAGCTGCTCGAGGCCGATGGCGGGGGACTGGTGGCGCATGAACTTCCATAGGGGCAGCGCGAAGCGCGCGTGTTGTAGCTCGGGCTTTTTGTTGCTGCTGCCGCCGCCGGCGGTGGTGATGATGACCTCGTCCTGGCTGACTGCTTGTTCCAGAGCTAGAAAGCCGAGGAAGTCGCCGTTGACCATTGCTGTCTTCAGGAGATGCATCGTCTGATGTGGGAGAGGAGGGTCGATAGAGAAGAGGCGGTTGACGATAATGTAGTCGAGGACGGAGTCGCCGATGAACTCGAGACGTTCCAGACAGCCCAGGGTGTTGCCGAGGTTGAAGGAGGCGTGGGTCATGGACTGGATCAGCAGGGCCTTCTTTTTAAACTCGTAGCCTATGAGCTGCTCCAAGGGCTCGAGGGTAGACGGGAGTTCCACGTCGGAGGGAGCAACATCGTACAGAGCCTGTCTGCAGTCGTCTAGGGTCTTCCATTTGATCTGCTGGAGGAAGATGGACATGCACTTTAGCGCTTTCGGGAGACCGCCGTCAATCATCGAGGCCCCGATAAGTGCTTCGACGATATCTGCGAGCGTCTTGGTGGAGATCTTTCTGGAGGAAGGCTCTTCACCGTGCTGGAGTACGTCCTCCACGTAGATTGGGCGCCACTTCTGTCCCGTGAAGGGCTTGGTGAGAATGAACCTGTCGAGGCCGTGCTTAATGGCCGCTTTGCAGAGGGTCGAATTGGCGACGATGGCGTCTTTCTTGAACGACAGGAGCCGTTCTGGCCAGTCCGGGTCTGGTCTTGTATTAACTCTGGAATTCCTACACAGCTCGTCGGATCGCGGCATATGAACTTACTCAGAGCGGCAACATTGATTGTGGCGGAGACTTTGAGAATAGAGTCGCCCAGAAACTCGATGCGTTCGTAGTTTGTAGGTTCACACGCGCTTCCCGCGCTGATGGTTGTGACTACCAGAGACGGGTCGGAGATGGCGAGTGGCCTCAGCACACCCATAGACAGCTCCCTTGCCACCAGGTAGGTCTCGATACGGTGCAAGATTGATGGTATAAGCACACCAAACTGGGCATACTTGGCAGGGATGTTGTCCACCTTTGCCCACGACATTGGGTAGACTCGATTATACGGCTTGACAGTAGCTGGGCCGTGACTGGGATCGCTCTGTGGCCGATGAAGAAAGTCCGACCTGCGAGACCACTTCTTGAGAGCCAGGTAAGGTTCATCCTCTGGTGCCTTTTCGAATTCGTAAAACATCTTTTGTACAGTCTCGGGTGCCGGCTTGCGGGGGATGACATTGTCGTACAGATATGGGGATCCAGTCTGGTCGCGTATGAAACAGGTCAGATCGTAGTCTGACATCGCCCCTGGGACGAAACCTTTGACGCCGATTTGATCGACGGACATGTCTCCAGCACCAACTGCACTGAACCTCACGATCTGCTGGAGATCCGCCGAAACCCACCGGTGACCGTACGGCAGAGCAAGAAGTACAGCTGTGTCATCATTGCCGGTCAGCTCGTCAATAGGAAGCTGATGTCCAAACTCAATTGACCAGGTGACGTTATAGTCCAGATGGATGGGTATCGTCTGCAACCCAGGTACCCATAAGGGGATTACCATGTCGTACTCTCCCTGGACGACACCATCCGAATCCTTGAGCAGGATCCGAGTTGCCCTTAGGTTGTTACCAACTTTCCAGGCCTCGGCGACTCCGATCCAGGCATTGAGTAGACCGTTGACCTGCAAGATAGCAGCTCTTTTGTCAATTCCGGGTACAAAGTCCTCTGGCTTGAAAGGGAGCAAGTTGTCGTTCACAAGTCCAGCCTTGTACAGGTTGCGATAGGCTTGAAACGCAGCGTCTTTTGTAGCATTTTGCTCTGATTTCCAAGCCAGCTGACTCTCGGCGCTGCGGACCGAGGCTGGTAAGTAGCTCGGCAGGTGGACGGTGGCTCGCAAGTCTGGCGCGCCTCTTGTGTCCGTCTCATCGATGATGTAGTCCGGCCGCCAGTCGATGAACTCTCCCGGGGAAAGTATTCGACAAAGATGGTCGAGATGCTGCTTTGCGTTGTCGAGATCCAGAACGGCTCCTGTTTGTTCGATTTTGAAAATCATCTCCTTTGGCTCCTCAGCCTGCTCGATCTCTTGAAGGTGTTCAATTTCTCTCTCTTGTTCTTCATACTGGGCTTTCATCTCCGCCTCCAGGACCTCCCACTCTTTCCCCAGTGGATTCGAGCTATCAAGTAGCATGAGAAGCTTAGACTGCTTCTTCCGGGCCCGTCCGCGGCGTTGGATAAACGATTTGAGATTTGGTGGGGTATCGAAACAGACGACCAAGTTGCAGGCCGGCACATCGATGCCTTCTTCGAGTACACTGGTAGCAACCAGCAGGTTGGTCCTCCCGTATCGGAACTGGTGCAGTGACCGCTGATCTTCCACTCGAGAAAGGTCCCATATATCTTTCTTCTTGGCCTGAAACTGTGATGTACCCATCATGGCCCCGATTCGATATCGCTTTCGTAGTAAGTTATGCGACGTCAGCAGATGACATAGAACCGCAACGGTTGCTCTTTCTCTGGCGAATATGATGCCAATCGTGTCAGATTTATCCTGTAACAATTGTTCAATGACAACGAACACCTTATCCGACAGGACAGCACGGCTAATAGTCTCTTTCGATGGACACTGGCAATCAACTTGACTGAGAACGTTGATGAGGTATTGTTTTTCTTCGTCCTTCCATGTGTCAAGCCAGACGCTTTGGGCCCTGACTGCGGCTCTGAATCTTGAGATCACTTCCCAGATATAATACTCCGCCGCCCAGGGTCCAAGTTCGTTGAATATTTGATTCGCTTGGCGGCCGAAGGAAGTCATTTGGTTCTGAATGTACGTATCGTGACTTTTGAGAACCGCAATGAGTTCACGCTGACTTCGATCTGTTCCCTCTGCTTGTAAGTGTCGAATATGGGGATCTTCCGAGATATCAAGAGATTGTATAGCCATCCTCAAGCTTCGCAAGCTGTTGGGAGTATCGTAATCGTTTCGAGCCTGAAAGATTGCGGATGCCAGCTCTGGCTTGTTAACAGCAGCAAGAAGGTCGTCCCGGTGCATCGTCGGGCTCTTGCAAACAGCGTCCAGCGTGGCTTCGAGGGTGTTGATGCTGTCGACCTTGGAACCGAAAGTCGGGCTTGCTGTAAGACCCAGGACGTGGGGAGTAGGGCGGCCTTTTCGTTGTTCTTCATGGTAAAAGAGTGACATGATTTTGCTTCCCGGAGACTTCCCGATGCAATTGTGAGCTATTTCGTATTGATTAGCATCTTCCACTTGCGGAATCTTTGAACCACAAACCTTCGTCAAATACTATCAGAGATAGTCTGGACATAGGCACGAACGCGTGCGACATCGCGTCCAACAGGATTTGGTACGTCGACACAACTATGCGCACATTGAGAAGAACCGCATCCCAAGTTTGCTGGTCAGACCATGAGTCCACATTATCGTCGCCACTGAGGAACTTTATCTGAACCTCTGGTATCTGGGTTTTGAGAACTTCAAATTGTTGGCTACAAAGCGATACCGTGGGGGCTAGAAACCAGACAATCTGTACAGTTAGTCTAGCAAAAGAGATCCGTAATGGTCCTAACGCACCTTTTGGGACGTCGTTCTCTCTAATTCAGCTCTGATTCTTAAAACAGCTCTATAGAAGCCTCTATCAATGTCACGAAACTATGCTTGCTCGTAGGTAGTCAACTTACACTTGCGTTTTGCCGCTCCCCGTGTCCATCTATCACGCGTTAATTTAAGCCATGGTCTCTCTGGAACTGGATCCACAGGCTCGACGAGACTTACAGCAACAATAATATTTTGCCGCATGCTCTCGGCAAGCATTTCGGACTGGTAGGCCCTCGCATTCATGATGACCGAGTTGCCTGAGGCTGGCTCAGCTGGAGGCGAAGAGGCCTCATTGTTCAGGAACAACTCCTCGGCAGCCGCTGAGAGTGTCTCCTGGTTATGAGGCCCCAGGACCGGCACATTGGGAGGTACATCATCTTGCACAGGATCTGCACCCTCGCCGGAAGATGATGGTGAATGGCCAGTCATTGTTTGTATGGTTCTAGCGTGGACCTGAGGACCCAGTCCTAGGGTCCTGATCACGGTCCTGGGAAGCGCGGTACTTCGGGAGAATCCAAGTAAGCCAAGAACAGGTACACCAGCACACTCAAAGTACCGGGGTACAATGAGAAGACTCGCCAGGTAGTGGGGTGGTCGGTATGAGTCAAAAAAGGTGTGTAAGGTTAAATGACGCGGCTCAAAACGGAAAATAGGACAGAAATTCGTGTGACGCGGGGACCAGGATTCATGGGGCTCGATGCACAGCACTCTGGGGCGTCTGCGGATACTACTTCCGTGTATTCGGACACGTAGAATTTGCCTAGTGCGATGGGTGCGATGCATGCGTGACTCGGCGATAAGTGCCTGATTGCTGACTTGGATATTGGCGATGATGCCGTAGCGGAGGCAGAAAAGATTCTGAGAGGTTGGGGTCCCTGCCAAGAATCACGTCGCAGTGGGTGCCTGGAGGGCGTCCGGGAATGTGTTGCCGCTTGTTTGCTTCTTTTCTCGTCGCACATGAGTAGGGAGGGAAAATTGAGACCTCGAGGCAACACGTAGTCGTGGCATGCTATCCATATTTGCACTCGCAAGCCAACACGCACTGCAACAAGTCGCTTCTGTTGAGTTCAGGGACTCTGCAGGAGGCCGACGGCCCACATCTGCGGAGGACGTATACCACTTCGCAACGCGGTTACGCACCATATCAAAAGAATCATCTTGGCCGCTTGTAGAGTGAACTTTTGAACTAAAGAACAGGGATCAATAGAAAACGATGGAGCGAACGACAGCCTTGGGCTCCGGGTACCCCGTCCTAATCTTGAAAAGCCGTAGTTTTGTTTGCTTGATGGGTCTAGCATAAAAGGTGTTAATGATAAGTCGAGAAGAGCGTAGTAAGACTCGGACGAAAGAAAGAGCGATCTGACATCGGTCCCCGACCAATCAATCTAGAGCTCCCAACCAGGGTTTTGGAAGATCAGGTACCTAACTTGAATCTTTCGGTAATCCGTCGTGACGGATCATTAATCACTGGCCTGGAGTCCTGGACCAACAGCTGTCATTTAGGCTCGCCCCTGCTCCGAGAGTTCCCACAGTCACCCGCACTCATCCCGGCCTGAGTGTAGGACTAACCCAACCGGGGCCGATGCCGAATTTGTCGGTCTTGATTCTCCGGAACCCGAGGCCTACTTAGCCACCCGCCCGGGCTCTGATTAAATCCAGCATTGTACATGCAACTAGCTGACGTCTCCAGGAAAATGTGCGTCAGTACCTTGCCAAGCCGAGAACAGGGACGCCTTTGCTTATGAAAGCAACGCGGCATCGGCTTCGGATCATGGGCCAGGCCTTCACTTGAGAGGCTGCTGCCTCCCGGGGTTCTACATCAGACCATTCAAGGTACTCATCTACCTGGATTTCCAGTCTATAGCTCTATTGGAGCCGATATGGCTTGCAACCTCGACTCCAGTCCCTCGATGCTACCCTGCTCTTCAATTGAGAGCAATGTGGCGAAGTGCAGCAATAATTGGGTCATCCGGGCCTGCGTCTCTAATGCAATAGAGTCTTGTTTGAACTTTTGTTCGATTGTATTCACATGACGGTGAAAAAAATCCATAGCCGCATGTTGCAGATCACCTCTTGATTCGTAGAAGTCCTAAAAATTGAAGGTCGTCCGTTGAAGTCTACTTTGACTTGCTTGGTTGAGTCGCAATGCTGTGCCTCCCAGGTGCGATTAGCTTAATGCGAGGCCCTGCTACTCGCATGCGGCTTACTTCTCCTCAATTAGTCTAGACAACAGTAGACCACCGCACGAAAGTGTCATCTGCCTGATAGTTAGGCACTCGGAGCACACCTGGTGACCGATCCCGAAATACCCTCAAGCGGGACTATCAGGTGGCTATGTAGATTGTTGCGGCACAGCAACTGGCGAGCAGTTTCAGATCGCGGTAAGCCAATGAACTGGCTGCCAGAGGCGGCCGACTGTCGCCAATGATTCTTTTTTCGCTTCGGTAGTGACCCTCTTGCAGCTGTTGCCTGATAAATGGCTCCATTTAACTCTCTGATCAAGATTTCTGCCATCGATAATTACCAAGCGACGCCGCAATGCCAGTCAAGTTCCTTTACGGATATCTGCAATTCGGGCAACGGCTATGACAACTCACATCTTTCCCTGCGAAGAGGACTCGCCAGTCGTGGCCAGTCTTCCAAGATACCCAATCACATGTGCAATGTATCTCGTCATATCGTCATTGCAGGTCATCCATTGAGTCTAGAGCTCGGAGTTTTCGTGTCCCCATGTCTCTATGCTGTTCTATGATACAAGGTAAGACCGTCCTAGCCATTGCGCAAATTACAAGTTCGTAAGATAGTCCTCAATCTCCTGAGGGCTGAGCTTTCTGAAGCGAGGGCCCTTGGCACCCTCAACACCCTCGATACCGAGGAGGTGGTCTGCCGGAGGTCCGATGATGCCTGTACTCCCAGTTAGACGCATTTTTGACAACATACTGCGGATACTTACCAATTTCAATGGTATCTCCATTCATCTCTCCCTCAATGGTCTCCTTGAGTGTCAGCAATGCAATGTGCACGGCGTCCTCAAGCTCCAAGCCCTCCGTGTATCTCTTCTCCAAGAACGTCTTTGCAGACGTAGCGCTCTTGCCAATCGCCGTAGCCTTCCACGGGAAGTAACTGCCAGAGGGATCGACCTGGTAGAGCATGGGTCCACCCTTCAGAGTACCACCGGTCTTGCCTGTGGGCTTCTTCTCCTCGCCTTCCTTGGTCTCGGTCTCGTCCTCGGGCAAGATACCCTCATCCCAGCCAGCAATCAGCAGGCTGACGCCGTAAGGTCGGACACCACCAGACTGAGTAGCCTCCTGCATGACACGGGCAACATCCTGCACCAATATCCGCGTAGGGGGGTATTCGTTGTAGATGCGCTTGTAGCCGGTGTGCGATACCTTGCGAGCCTTGTCCACCAATATTCTATAGTCGGGGCCCATGCCTGAGTACACCATACCGATGTCGGGGGTGACGAGGCTGATCTTGGACAGCGAGCTAGGATCGGCAAGGGGCGATGATGACTTCTTCTCGGTCGCAAGGACGATACCGTTGGTGGCTTTCGAGGGGTTAGCATGGGTTGCGGAAGGAGGGGCAAGTCGACTTGCCTTTGATACCGAGGGCGGTGACACCCTGGTTGACGGCGTTCAGAGCATACTCTAGATGAATGTCAGTCCTACGCTTCGAGGGTTCGTTCCGTTCCTGAAGCTGGGAGACATTGGCCGGTGGGGGTTGTGTTGGAGCATACCGATCTGAACCAGCTTGCCGCTATAATCCATTAGCATGCGGACGTCATAAGTTGGATAGCATGTAGAATTACCTGGGCGAGAACGTCGTCAGGGAGAAAGAGTAACGGTCGGCCATTGCTTGATTATTTGGTCGTGTAGTCGAGATGTGATGTCAAGTACAGTGGTCGGGGAGGATGGTGGGTGGGTTGGCTGCGGTCAAACGAGGTGAGGCTGCCAGAGCTCAGGTACGAAGCTCTCCCTCCCAGGCAACTCGCGCCGCGTCAAGCTGCCAGCCGCCGGACGCCGCTCGGAAACTAGCAGCACGTGACATCACCGGCTCAGATGTTGATCCGGGTCGTATTGCTGACGTAATCGAGGGGCGCAAGAAGCTATGACCACCTGAAGAAAGCTCACAATAAAGTGCCTGGTGCTGGAATATTCTTTTTCGCTCTTCGTTTGTGTTTCCAAAAGATCCTATTCGCTTGGCGCAGCTTCTCCAACAGGCACAGCTGTCCGAAAGGACAGATCAGGCTTTCATATTGCCTACGCTAATTCTTGTCATGTAGGCGCTGCTGCACTTGGTCAAATTAGGCCAAGTTTCCAACCCCGAGCCAGCCGGTCTTTCATGGCAAGTCTCCTATTGTTTCTCTTTCTCTCACAGCACAGAGTCACTCCACCTGCGCGATACGGAAAGCTCAATGCTTTGAAGACGCATCGAAGCCCAACATCTACAGCAATCAATTTTCGTTGTTCACCATGGATGCTGCGAAGCCTCAGTGGAATTGGCCATCTGACCTCCCGACGGGAGGTCCAGCGCGCAAAAGCCACTTTGAAGCCGATCTACCCGAGAAGACAGAGCCTATAAAGTCTGAGGACCATGACCAACATGACAGAGACCAACCCCAGGAGCAACCTCAGTCTCCGCCCAAGCAAAGATACTACGGGCCGCGAACATGTCGCATCTGCTTCGAGTCGGTTTATCCCACATTTGAAGAGCCAAGTGTCATGAGCGGCTTCATGAACTCACGTCCACGACCTGTTTACAAATCCGATGATCCCGACTCTGGACGACTTATCTCACCATGCAAGTGCAAGGGGTCTCAACGCTACGTCCACGAAGGGTGCTTGCAAGCTTGGAGGTATGCCGACTCGACAGCTACGCGGAACTTTTTTGCATGTCCCACCTGCAGCTACTCATACAAGCTGGAGCGATTATCTTGGGCGAATCGTTTGCAAGGGACCTTTGCGCAAATAGTACTAACTATCCTCATCTTCATCGTTTCGGTCTTCATTCTCGGCTTCATTGCGGATCCGATTCTGAACTTGTGGACCGATCCCATGGGCGCAATCGCGGATATGGCGGCGAATGTTCTCGACGACATCGAAGCAATTCACGAGCCGGTACCTGAGATGGGTGCGGAGCCTGGAACATGGCTGGAACACTTTCTCAAAGGCTTCTTTTCTCTTGGACTGCTTGGGTTTGTGAAGTCTCTCTTCGCTATGTCGCCCGTCCAATGGTGGAACTTGAGGTCCAGCGGTATCCTCAGTACCTCTGGGCGCCGAGGAGGGACAGGTCGCGCGCGTGTCGAGAACATCAACTTGGGCCTGGTTGTCATTGGTGCCGCGACCTTTCTGTGGGGAGTCTGGAAGGGTGTGAGAAAGTTCAGTGCCTCAGCTCTGCAACGTGCCAGCGACAGAGTCTTCGATGTGGGTGGTGACGACGATGAGGACGAAGATATTAAGGAAGACTAACATAGGTCGGAATGTGGAGAAACGCAAACATTCTTTATCACTCAAGAGACAGAACGCCTGTAGCGCCATGTGTCACGATGCCACCCGCACACTCTTAAGTTGCCTCGAAGATTCTCTTCCATATCGTGTCAACTAGTCTGTGTGCGGAGAACAAGTCCCTGCTCTGTCTTTGAATTGAGCCGTTTTGGTTAGATTTACTTTGGACGAGCGGACGACGTCAACCTGCTATAAATCAATCAACATTCTGTTGGCTGACTATGCCGACGACAACTCTCAATATCCTTTGAGTTGGCAAACGCGCAGGCTGATACACATATTTCTCAAGGATTGACCAATGGCGTAGCTCAAGAATTTGATTGTGACGAAAGACTTGAATAAATTTCTGTGTGTCGCATTTCCGATGCTCGATACTGGTGATGAACCTCATTTATAGTGAAGGTTCGCAAGGAAGGACCAATTCAAGTGTCGGGTATTTCTTTTAAACTACCGACTCTTATTTATCTAGCAATCTACACCTCTTGGTCAGCGTCACAGCACCCCGCATAGAGCATTAGGTTTGACGTCGCTTTGGTGGTGGAGAACCAGCGCAACCCTTGACAGGAGGGGCTCAGGGGACCCAGGGATCGCCCGACCGGACAATAATACCACCGACCGGGCCAATGATTGATGGTCTTCGGCGCGGTCCAGATCTAATGTTCCCAAAGTGGACCTCGAATTAAACGAAGCCATAGTATCGAGTTCGTGTTCACCAGTCTGTACATTGACCGGCCGTCCTCGCCCTTGCACCACTGCTTCCCTTACAATCCTTTCGCTTTCCAAGGTGTCGCCTAGACTTCTCGACGACTGGACGTGATGCGCCTCTCTGGATGACGCCCTACGAACACTCCGACGATCCTTGATTTCGACATTCCATCACCCTTTCCTCCCTCCTTTCTGTGCCAAGCCTCTAGTCGCAACGGCCACAGTCAGCGTCTTCTCTCGTGTTCGAACACCGACGAAATTTGTCCTTAAACGACCGCCATTTCCGGGACATCGAGGCGTCGCATTTCGACGCTGGTTCAGCCGCGACAATTCTTTCGATCGTAGGCCAACGGGTTCTCCCTTTGAACTAATCTCCTAATTCGACACGATGCATTTCGCATACCCACCACGCAAGAGCTCGAACCCGCCTCCCTTCAAGGCGAGATCCTCCAGAATACCACCAGTTCTTCGACGCAGCAGGCTCAAGGTCATCGCGGCAGGCGCCCTTGTATTCTTCGGCTTCATATACCTTCTCTCTGGAGCCTTCAAGTCACCTAGCGGCCCTCGAGTACCCTCTGGCGAACCTCCAGCGGTAATAGTGACGGTGCTGGATGAGGACAACTACAGCAATAAATATCTTGCAAGCATTCGCGACAACAGGAAACAATATGCGCAGCTACATGGTAGGCATTCACTGGTTCTTCTTTGTACTGCACATGCTAATAGCTCTTGTTTTAGGCTACGAGGTGATGTTTGTAAAGGCGGGCGATTACGATCTGAACGGATCTCCATCATCATGGAACAGAGTAGTGTCGCTGAGGCACGCAATGACAAAGTTCCCGGAAGCCAGATGGTTCTGGTACCTCGACCAAGACGCTTACATCATGGATCCGGAGACGTCTCTAGAGAATTTGGTGTTGAAGTCGGAAAGGCTTGATACTTTGATGGCCAGGGATCACCCGGTTGTGCCCCCTGACAGCATCATCAAAACATTCCCTCATCTCAGGGGTGAGGACATCGATTTCGTGGTCACGCAAGACAGAGAGGGCCTATCTTCGAGCAGCTTCTTCATTCGGAACGGCGACTGGGCGAAATTCTTCATCGACACCTGGTTTGACCCGCTGTACCGCAGCTACAACTTCCAGAAGGCTGAGGGTCATGCTCTGGTAGGTCTCTTCCTCTTTGCCTCTTGTTTTTGCCTCTGAGCCAAGTTTAACCGTTGCTTTAGGAACACATTGTACAATGGCATCCGACCATCCTTTCGAAACTTGCCATTGTGCCGCAGAAGACGTTTAACTCCTACAACCGATATGACAAGGGAGAGATCTACAAGGATGGTCACTTTGTTGTCCGCGCAGCTGGTTGCACAAATACTGGAGAGCGGGCTTGCGACGAGGAGCTCAGCAGTTTCAAGACGAAGTGGCAGGCAGCCTTCAAGGCGCAGTAGACGGAGGGCTAGAAGAGAGCAATGCTTGTCCTCGCTAGAGGAGGATCAACGCACAGAGAAGCTCCAGGCGTTATAGTCCCCAGGAAGCATGAACTCGGCATTTAAAGTGTACAGGAGCTGGACGAGGGCGTTTATTTGGGTTTGGGGAGACCATCTCATGAAAGAATTGTGTACAGGGGTTACCGACAGATGGTCAAGAGCCTCGGAGGGTACGCGGTTGCATGAGCTTCTCACACGGCGCTCATGAGGGTTGTTATGTTTTTTTCTCTCTTGATACTTTCGAGATGATGATCCGTTTTGACGACTGAAGAAGGCTTGCGTCTTCTTGTGTTTTGTATACCATACTGATAGACATTGGCCATCCTGCCAAAGCGTGGATGCTAATACGGACTTTGTTCGCAAATCTCCATACCGTTGACAAGCAATTGTTCTGGGCGGCGATCGGAAGTACGAGATCGTCTCCACTTGGGCCAATCTGCCCCATGAGGATCTCTGGCTGCCCTTTACAAGGCGAATTGGACAGGGAAGACGATTTACGTCAACCAATGAGGAAGAGTCTAGGCACAAGTTGTTGGTCGTCGATGCATATCTGCGATTCGGCTGCAAGGTTGTCGTCCGCTAAGATCGAATTCCCAGGCAGCGCCTGGCATCCGCTTGGATCTCTCGGACGTTGATGCTGTCGATGTGACGTGGTCGAGGCAGAACGCATGGCCACTTTGTCGGAGCTTACTCACCAGGACTGGTCGACCTTTGGCATTAGTGGCATCGGTGGCATTGTGCGACCCGAGTTCAAGCCCAAATTGCTTGCCATTCGGCAACCGTATTTAGCAGTGGCAACCGCTATGCGAAGAGGGAGATGATGACTCTCAGTGGTTGGGAATGCGACTTCTAAGCGTGTCCGGGGCCATTGGGTCAAGCCGGATGACGGGCGTCCGCGGGCCCGATTCCGCCCCGCTATAGTGGACCCTTTTCACTCCTGGGCAGTCCGCGGACGGACAGAGTTGGATGACTTTCCAAGGTTGCTTTGACAGATAACGCCCCGACTTATGCTCTAAGCATGGAGGTTTCCTGTAAAAAGAAGTCACACCTCTTTTGAAAAGAGGAGTCAAGGTAGCAACAACAGACTCGCGATCTAGACGCAAAGTCATGCGTACATCGGACAGGCTGCCCAATCGGCCGAGTCTGGAGGTCCTCGGTTCGCATGGAAAATGTTGTCAGGTATCAGTCGCGGCGATAAGATGACGAGCACGTCGCGCGGTGCGGACTGCCCTCTTTGGGCCAGGACTTTGGAGGTGGTGTTCATCGCTGCCGGCTCCGCTCTCGACACTGACGCCTCGCGTTGGGGAAGAGCCTACTGCGTAAGAGGAAGCCATCGGTTCGATGTGAATCCTACCTTGTTAGTCAATGTCGCTTCCCCAATAACACGAGGCTGGCATGAGCTGTCAAGCTTGAGGCAGGACCCCCTGTATCTATGACTTGCCTGAAAGGTTCGTGGATGATACTGCCTGCAGCTAGATGGACGCGGGCAACCATGGGAAACAGGGCTCCTCTTGATTGGAGTGGTGCATGTGACAGACCGGATGGCGGCAATGCTCCCCCAGAGAGAAGCGGCGCTCCAGAGCTCCAGAAGGTACTCCGCTATCTTCGCTGCACTGACAGGGGTAAACGGCGCTAAGAAATAATCAAGAAGACGCCATGCCCCACGATTTTCTGCTCCTCGGGATCCAGCCGTTGGCTCTGCTTACCACAGCACTTGCACAGCAAAGACCCTCTAACCTCTCCTTCCTTGACCCCGGTCGCCGGTGATGCTCTTGCTGTGGCGTTGTTAACGTCGGAACCTTCCAAAGTTCCAACTCCTAGCCTTGATCTTCGTCCCGTCCCCCAGTCTCCAATTCTTTTTTTCCTCTCTTGAGCCCCCTCGTTCGCATTCCCTTCTACTCGGCGCATTTATAAATTGGAATTCGCATCCACCTCGGTTGCTCTCCGTCTTCCACGATTTCCATCTGCATTGCTTGCTTGTCGCGAATCGTAACACCCCACCGTGCCGAGCTACAACAACGGCAGTAGACAAGATGCCCGGCAGCTCCCGCATTCCCGCAAGCTTGCGTGAAGGACTGAACCAAGTCAAGCGTAGTCGGCAAGCGAGTCCCCTGTTGGTCCTGAACCTCGACTTGTGAGTTGCCAATGCTTTCATCTTACCACTTCGGTATCTCTCCCGAAGTAACCTCGGCATCGGCTAACCTCGAGGACTCCCGGGCCGTAGGTTGCGCAACATCATCTTCTTCCTCTTCGTCTGGCGATGGACGCGCAAGACGTTCCTGAAGCTCAAGGGCCGCGGCCTGATTGGCAGCATTGTCGAAATCTACATTGATATCCGCAGAGTTCTGTACGGCTACTTCCTGCGCGCCCCCGGCGTCCGCGGCCAGGTCCAGAAGCAGGTCAACGAGACCATGGCGAAACTGCAGACCAAGATGATCCCCGCGAACCTCACCCGATACCTGACCCTACCCAAGGAGGGCTGGTCCGAAGACGACGTCCGAAAGGAGCTCGATACTCTGGCGAACATGGACCACACGAGATGGGAGGATGGCTTCGTCTCTGGCGCTGTCTACCACGGCGAGGACGAGCTGTTGAAGCTGCAGACTGAGGCGTTTGGCAAGTTCACCGTCGCGAATCCCATTCACCCGGATGTCTTCCCAGGCGTGAGGAAGATGGAGGCTGAGGTTGTTTCCATGGTTCTGTCCATGTTCAACGCTCCTCCCGGCGCTGCCGGTGCCACCACCAGCGGTGGTACCGACAGTATCTTGTCGGCCTGCCTCGGCGCGCGCCAAAGAGGGTACTTTGAGAAGGGTATCACTGAGCCTGAGATGTACGTTCGCTTTCTGAGGCTATGTTCTTGTGATCTTTCCTGCTGACGCGCACTAGGATCCTGCCCGAAACCGCCCACACTGCGTTCCGCAAGGCAGGTGACTACTTCAAGATCAAGATCCACTACGTTTCCTGCCCTGCGCCCAACTACCAAGTCGATGTCCGCGCGGTCTCCCGCCTGATCAATAGCAACACTGTCCTCTTGGTTGGTTCCGCACCGAACTTCCCTCACGGTATCATCGATGACATCAGCGCTCTGTCCAAGTTGGCTATCAAGAAGAAGCTGTGCCTCCACGTCGACTGCTGTCTCGGTTCCTTCATGGTTCCTTTCTTGGACAAAGCCGGTTTTGAGACCGAGCTCTTTGATTTCCGTCTCAAGGGAGTCACGAGCATCAGCTGCGACACTCACAAATATGGATTTGCGCCCAAGGGCAACTCTACGGTTTTGTACAGGTCCGCGGAACTCCGCAAATACCAGTACTACGTGTCGCCAGATTGGTCTGGCGGTGTGTACGGTTCTCCTGGTATGGCCGGCTCGCGTCCAGGTGCCCTGATTGCCGGTTGCTGGGCTAGTTTGATGAAGGTCGGTGAGGCTGGTTACATTGACGCTTGTGTCAAGATCGTCGGCACTACCAAGAAAATCATTGAGAAGATTCGCGAGACACCAGCGCTGGATAACGAGCTAGAGATTCTGGGCAAACCTTTGGTATCCGTTGTCGCCTTCACCGCTAAGAATCTCAACGTTTACGACATTGCCGACGGCATGTCAGAGAAGGGCTGGCACTTGAACGCTCTTCAGAACCCTCCCGCAATCCACGTCGCCGTTACTCTGCCAATTACCAAGGTCTACGAGAAGTTGTTGGCCGATCTTGAGGCTGTTGTCGAGGCCGAGAAGGAAAAGGAGAGAGTTCGCGCCGTTGAGGGTAAGGGTGTCAAGGGCAAGGCCGTCGGTGACTCGGCTGCTTTGTATGGTGTTGCCGGATCCCTGCCGAACAAGAGCGTAGTTGTTGACTTGGCCAACGGCTTCTTGGACCTGTTGTACAAAGCATGAAGAAGGAAGCAGAAAATCGGTTGGGAGTTTTGTAAGTGCATTAGCTGGCGAGCATTCGATCTGGACTCGGGTTGGACAAAGCCCCAGTAACATATAACGGTGTAACATAGTTATTTATTCAGCGTCTTTTTTTTATTCCCACCGATATCGCTCCCACTTATCTCTGCTGACCACACGAAGCTTACCGAGTTAATGGGGATTGACTCGCTGTTACTCAGTTGCGTCCGGCTCGAGGATCGGGACGGGGCGAACGGGACCCCCACATGTTCAAGACATGAACGAGTGTGTTCGATCGGAGCTTCCCTCTCTCACAGACCGAGTTGTCTCATTTCCTGTCGGGTCTTTTTAATCTTCACGGGCGGTTAGGGTTGTCTCAGAACTACCGCTCTGACCATAATTCGCCAGCAAACGCGGAAGCAGTAGACTCAGTCGGAATCATTGGCTGTTAAATGTCAGGATTAATAGATCTCGATTACAAGCGGCCTGCCGCGCGGACATGCGAACCACTTTCTATCAGAAATCTCGGTGGACGCCTTGCCGCGAACGGCCAACAGGACATCCGGAGCGTCACGGCCCAATTCCGGGGGGTCACCCATGGTATCGTTCTTTGTCTTCTGCACTTACATGCAGCAACCCACACCGCACTATCGAAAGCTTCCGCATCCGCATCACATCTAAAGAGCCCTCTCCCCTTCAAGCTGCGTCTCAATCCGAGGCCTGTGTTCTTATCGGGGATCGCTTGGTGGCACCACAACAAAACTCCAAGAAAAACTTTAGCAATCGGACGCCCGCGCTGACTGCCGGCTCAAGGCCAACAAGCAAACACGGCGTCGCCTGACTTGGATTGTCCAACGCGATTCAAGCTAAGGTATCTTAAGCGACACGGGAACCATGACTTGGGACACGGCAACTCGAAACGGAGGGAATAATGAATCTTTGGTCTAGTTTCCATCCCAGGCGTAAACTTTCAGCTTCCCGAACGCGTGTGGCCTCAAGATCGAAACCCTCCCGATGTCATCGCATCCTTTGGCGACGGCCACATCCTGGACACTCTGACGTGGGGGAATCCCACCAGACGACTTCCTTTTTCATCTCAGCTTCCTTCGGTGACGCATCGAAACGCTACCGACGTGCCGTGTACCAGGCCATGACATTGCCATGCAGACAACTTTGCGGCCCAATGGGACAGGGATGGACCTCGTTGGAGAAACAGTGCACAGCAGGAAAAGGGCAACTTTGTGTGGCCTCTACGCTGCCTTCGCCCGACTACTTTGTACGAGCTACCACCACGTACACGCAGCCTGCTGATTTCCTTTTTTCTCGCATCTATTATGCCAATTTCTCCCTCCTGTCTCCTGAGTGAGGGCAACACCACATTCTTATCCCTCGCATTTTGAAAATGCACTTTTCCGCATCACCCATGCCGCTCGTGGTGTTGCCTCCGTGATCGACCCTTCATACCTTCGTGCTGCACCTTATCAACCCACCTGACGCGAGGGGAAATAGATGTCAACACCTCATTGGGGAGCTCTCACAAGTGTCCCATCGGCGTCCGAAGAGGGTATGGGTCTATAACTATTCCCGCCTTTTCTGCTGTCTATCTCACCGTCGCTTCGGTCTGCCCCTTTTCGTTGTCTATTCGCTCGGTATATACGGCTACCATTTCTATCGCGCCAACAACCCAATCGCCCTGGTTCCATCCAATCTTACACACTCCTTGCTGTTTGCCATCGTACAAACGATCTAGTCTGAGCTTTGCGGAAGTTCGCATGCTGCGGCAGACGGCATATCCAGTAGCAATAACATCGGTAACCGGCAACCGGACATGACTACCACCCCGGCTGGCAAGGCCGTGCGGCCAAGGCTGAACACCACGACGAACTGGTCCCTGCCGAGAGATCACGCGGGCCACCCGGAGCCGGAAGAGCTTTCCCCGCTGTCACCAGGGCGGGCTGCTGGGGAGTGCGGCTGGGGGCAACAAAAGGGGAGCCATGGTCACGGAATCCGGGCGGATGAGCAGCAGCAGCAGCAGGGTTCGGAGGGCTTGATTATGGAAACGCTCACTTCGAAACCTCGCGATAGTCTTGGTAGCATGCCGACTGATATGTTGGAGGAGTTGAGGAAGATTATCAAAGAAGAAGGTCAGTCTTGTTGAGTTCTGTGTTTGGAAAGCTGTCGTTTACTGATCATATTGTTCAGTTGCCCAAGTCGCTCAAGTTGCTCAATTAAAGACCAGTGAGACCGTCACCCGCGCCGACGCAGCTCGGTATCCCCCTTTATCCAGCCAGAATTCCGCCTTCACGCCGGCGTATCCCAGCCCGCCCCCTTCCATTATCGATACACTTGGCGCCTCCAAGACCTCATCGCCGAGAGATCACAGTCCGGAACTCGCACACGCAAAATCTTCGTCGGCGCCTCCTCCTCCGCAACAGCAACAACCGCCGCCAACGTCGGTTCCCGTTCCTGCGCCTCAGTCCACCCCGCCCATCAGCCCTCAACAAAGGGGGGTTCACTTTAGAAAGAGGGCATCACCGGTCATCCATTGCCAACCGCGTGTTGAAACGGACAATGAAGACGAGGTCTCGCCGACTGCTCCTGCGTCGCCTCGAGTTGAGCTGAGTAGTGTTGACAAGGCGTGGGGCGTGTTGTTTGACTCGGAAGGATATCCTACCAACCGACTGAATAGCGTGCTCAGAGGCCTCGCTAACTTTATGGTACGCCACCTGCGGCCTTCTCTATGAGTTTCGGTGCGGCTAACATGAACCTTAGATTACGGAGTTTGGGTCGTCTGAGACACTCGTCGTTACCCCTGAGAAGATGCTGATACTGTACACCACATACAAAGTCGAGCCTGAGAGGTTCCAATATGAGGGTAATTGGCCTTTCTGATTCATGGTTCGGAATAGAGTGCTGACTTGTCACCAGACATCTTTAAGTCTCGGTCCAAAGACGCCTTGGAGCGAATCGAGTTCTTGTACCAAGATCTAGACTGTCAATACCACCTCGTCCAGGCCGCACCCAGATCTCACCCCAACACCCCCGGCTTGACACCCGCAGGCTTCGCCAAATGGATGATCAGCAGCATCCTCGCCTACCCAGACGCGGAAGCCAGACGTCTACATGCTATCATGACCGCCCTCCCTATCAACGCCGACGGACCCCTCCTCAACGGCAAACCAGAGAGACTCCCCAGACAGCTATCCCGGCACCTCTTCCCAGAGACCCACGATAAAAAAGTCCGCAAGATCACCGACGAGGCCATGTGGGATTGCCTAGAGGACGTCGCGCCGCCCCTGCCGTCCATCCCCAAGTCTCGACCGGCCCCACCGCCCCAGGACGTGACCAGGTTCCCGGAGGCCAACACACACTCCCGACGGTCCGGCAGCGACCTTCCCAAGCGTCCCGCATCCCTCCCGCACCGGTCTAGGACGTACGATCGTGGTGCTCACCGCGTCGAACCGCACCCGGCACGTCTCCCGCGCGCCAACTCGGACGCGGGCGTTTCCTTGCCTAGACATCGCGACTTGCCTCCCCCTCCGGTCGGTCGGCACTCGACTTCCTCTCAACGACAGCGGAGCCCGCCGCCGACGAATAGGTATACCGCGTCGCTTCCCTCCATCTCGCAGCACCATGTCAGCGGCGGTGGCGGTGCGGCGTCGCCTTCGCCTTCGTCGTATGATATCCGCGGCGGGGCTGATGCTAATTACGGGGTGTATTCTGGTCGAGACCGGGACGGGCATCGCGGTCCGGAGTCAAGGGATGAGTCGCCGCGGTCTCCGGGGAATGCAAGGCGCCGCGGCGGCGGCGGCGGCGGCGGTGGTGACAAGGGTCCTACGTGGGAGGACGTGTATAGTCGAAAGGGGTCGGCTGGGGGAAGGGGGTCGAGCGTTGATGGGGGATCTCATCGGTCGTTCCGGTGATTTGATCCAAGGATGCTTTGTTTCTGTCTCAAAGACGAAGGTTGTATTGGGGCTGTTCACCAACGACGAAAAGAAGAATGGGGGAGAAGGGTGAATGAAGATATGACAGTAACGACTTATGCCATTCTCTTTTGTCGGGGGATATCTGGATGAGGTTATCTGGGCCGCTTTAGTTTGATTACAATTGAATGAGTGGATGGATGTATGATCTGAAGATGGTTGTGTCTTTGTAACGTAGCGCTGGATAGGTTCTCTTGTTGTAAAAGTCTAGTTTTTGATATCTTGTTCCACCGTCTTTACCAGATGTTATTCTCGAAATGCCGGATCAAAGGTCTTCAAAGTGACAACATTCGATAGAGAACTGAGTATGCTTATACGACCGTGACTGTCTAGGAGTAAAACATGCATCCATATATAACGCGTCTTGTATAAGAGTTGACACTGCCACTCTGCGGCCTGGGACTGGAAGCTTGGAGGGAGATGGTTTTCGTCTCATTTGTCTCTGAGCCCTGAAGGCAGCAAAGACTTTTCAGCTACTGCCAAATCTATGAGGAAGAGGTACAGCAAACAATTCGGAGACTTTCTTCCGGACGAGGGTATTATAGAATTTCTAGCCACATCAACTTGTCAATTCCAACCCCCGAGGAAAGGAACTGCTCTAAGCAAGGGGATCTAAAGCCTAAAGTAAGACTAAGAAGGGAAAAAAAAAAGATGAAAAAGGAAAGGTTGTAGGGAGGTGGATAACTGACCTTATACTTCACGCCCCTGCCCAGATTCGAACAGCGCGCCCCTCGGGCCAGCACGGCTTCATCGGAGTATTTGTTTTAACATCTCTGCGTCAGAGTGCAAACCACCCGGCCAATCCGGATGGGTGCTGGTGACAGGAAGTCGCGTTGGGTTGGACTATATACCCTCGGGTGGTGCCTCGAGGAAGGAAGGCAGGAAGGGAAGGCAGCTGCATAAGGCTCACCTACCTCTTTGGGGCTGGTGAAGCATATGTGACCTGCAAATACCGATTATGCCACGATGCTATCTCGGCCATGCCTTCATTTCAAGTCCAGTCTGAATCACTTTCGGTCTCTCCCGCTCTCGCCGATATCATTGAAGATGCTGCCAGAAATTAATCCGCCGAGGAGATCCGTCTTCTCGAGCAAGGACTCGGACTGTACTTATCTCTCTTCAAACTCGGTTTCGAGGCATAGTATTGCCGGTCCCTCCTCCAAGAGAACTTGGATCTATCTGGCATTAGCCACAACCTCTTGTTGCCAGCATCTCTTGGGCTGTGATGGTGTGATGGTGATTAGGTTCGTAGCTTACCCTGTCTCGCCAGCGGTAAAAATTCACACTTGCTTGATGCCCGATCGTTTTCCTAACTATCTATCGCTGCCATTTGTGTTCAGCGCCACCTAGCCGTACTTGTGACTCACGAAGTCCAGTTTTGGATTCCCTTAATAACAAGGAACCTAGAATAAACAGTACTATTTTATCTGAGTTCTTCCTTTACCAGGAACTCTCAGAAGGTGCGTCTCATCTGTCCATGGATTAAATGGCCTCGAACCGTCAAATTCGGAAAGCATACCAACCTTCAGCAAATGTGGTAGCTTCTACTCCTCCCATCTGGCGGTGGCTTCTGCTTGTGGGGGTTGCCGAAGAACTGGAAAGGCAACTAGGTTTACACGTCATTTTTCCATGTTGCTCTAGATACAGACACTCAAGTACCTTGACCCCTTAATTGACTCCATTGGTCAAAGTAAACCACCACAGATGTAGATCATAGTCTCACAAATAGGGTCTCGAACATGCTCGTAAAAACTGCGCCAGGACGGCGGGATATAATGAGGCAGGTAGGTGCACCATCTCGAGCATGTTCATGTGCGGCCTTGAACCGTTGTATTATAAAACCTTCCACATCAAACTTTCCACAATGATAGCCGCTCGCGCGCCGTCGCGAAGCCTACTCAACTCAGGAACCTGTTTAGACTGTCTTTAACACACCTCTCTGGATATCCTACTACGAACCCATGGTTTATAAGCACAGGCCCCAGCCCAAAGAACTCCCAAGAATGCTATGCTGTATCCCGCTCTTTACACATACAAGTCCTCTGGTTACTTCTCTTCATTGAAGAAATCCAATCATTCTTCCTACCACGCACTTGGCCTTCATAAGTCTGGTCTACTCTTACCTACTCCAATCCCACCAACATAACCATCTATAATGGCCATCAGGTTCGCCATCCGTCTGCACAACCGCTACACAGCCCTCAAGGCCAAGGCCAAGGGACTTCGTGTCGGTAGGGACAGTAGCAGCAGGAGGAACGGCGGCCAGAAACAGTGCCTCTGGTGCAGGATCCTCAGACGCAAAAGCCCCCAAACTCTCATGAAGAACGCAGACATTCACGACTGGATGTCCTCGGATGAGACCCTCGTTGACCACCAGCCAGAGATGCAAGTAATCCGAGACCTCAGCGGCAACTTCAACCCCGAAGAGAGGTTCCCATTCCGTGAAGGGGCTGTTAGTCGCCTCTCAGCTAGGTCCAACGCACCCTCCAGCATCTATTCTTCAGATGAGACCTGCGTCGGCAGCGACCACAACAACAACAGCGATGACGACGACAACGACTGGTCATCCGAAGTCTGCTCCATCGATGAAGAAGAGGAGGAGACCTTCTACGACGCAGAGGACGGCCTCCTAAGGCCTACCAGAGATATGGACCCTCTGCCGTCAACGTACTCTCCCTTCGCATCAGACCTCCCCAGTCTCCCGTCCGTGTACTGCTCCCTCTGTGCGTTCTAGAAGAACAGACCCAGACTTTCTTCAGTCCTCAAAGTCGTGGAATCTCGCATGGGCAGCGAGGGCAAAGGGCGGTATGGAGTGGCCGCACAATGGACACCGCGCCGTCACTTCGTCGCCTTCCCATGATCCGCCGTCATCATAAAACTCTTCCACCTCCATCTCTTCAACCTCGTCATCTGAGATTGATTGGCGTTGAGTATCACCACCACCGCCGCCGCCATCTCCGTCATCGTCTTCCACGATGGCCGTGTCAATCTTCCACTGTCGGAGAACGTCATCCTGCTTGCGGAACATGGCAGAGATATCCCGCCCTACACCTGGCCCGGCCTCACTCCCACTAGCGGCCAAATTCGCGACGCAGACATTCATAAGCTGCAGGTTCCACTTATGGCCAGCCGGAAAAAACTTCTTCATCGTGGGAAGCAGGATTTCCGTCGTCAGTCGCTCCGCTAAGGAATCGGGTGTCTCTTTTGTATTGAAGATAAAATTAGGAAGAGGCTGGGATCGGGAAATACGTTGGAAATCCGGGTGTGAATGCCACGACGTCCCCGGCGGCGCATCAGAAGAAGGCCATTGCCGAATGGAAAGTCTTAGTGTCTTGGGGTGCGCAATCCATCTCTGACCGCCCGGGTCGATTGAGTCGTTGCTGCTGTCGCCTGTCAGGAGATCCGTCCGCATCCGCCGGATGAGAGAAGCAGATATCTTGCGTAGCTCGCCTTCAATCTGACTCATGCTCTCCAAACCCTTGTACGTGTCTTCGATGCTAATCTGTGACGGCACATCGCTCGCGTCCTTCACCTCCGTGTCGTCGACCCCGTGTAAGAGACCCCATACCCTCTCGCCGATACCCCGTTCAGAACCAGGACCGCCGAGCAGCTTCTCCAGCGCGTCGGGCGAAGTCTGCTCGTGGGTCCGCACGTCGTAGACTTTTAGTGGCGATGTCTCTCTGTCGGCGTCGTCGGATCCCAGGGGCGTCGCGAGGTACTTTTCCTCCAACGCGCGCGACGTCTTGAAGCCGATGCCGGGGACTTTTCTGACAGAGTGCGCATCCATGAACTCGGTGACGACGGCATCGTCGAATGACATCAGTGTCGTCTGGTTACGCGGCTTGTTTACACTCCCCACGAGCTTGCTGAGCAGCTTGTTTGTCGATACCCCGACCGAGGCCGTGAAGCCAAAGTCCTCCTCGAGCTTCATGCGCAGGTGGAAGGCCAGGTGGCTCGCCAGAAGCAGACGAACGTGGGCAGAGTTATCAAGGTCTCCTATATCAGGTATCTTTCCATATACGCAGCCCGCAACTTTGGTCAAGTCACATAAGAACCCCTTTTCGGGGTCCTTCTTGGAAAGGTGGAAGAATGACTCTGATAGCGAGGCCCGGTTGAGGCAGAACATGTTGTAGTTAATGATATCCGTGACATCTGTCCACAGTCAGCCAACTTGACCCCCTTTTCACGTTTCTTACGTGCCAAAGCACACACACCCATGAAAACTTCATCAAACCCCAACCTCTCCGCCTTGCGATTCCACGAGTAACCCCTCATGAAGCCAAAAAGCTTCTTGCTCATATCCCGAAAGGGCGTCAGATCCTCGCCCTCGATGATGACGAGATTCGGGCAGAGCCGCTTGGCTTCCGTGATGAGCATGAGCTTCTTGACCCCTTGCTTGCGAGCGACATAGTTGCACGTGGCCAGGATGTTCTTTTGCTTCACCCCCAAGGGCAGCGCCTTTAGCCGAGGGTCTCGGTTTTCAAAAACCGAGGCGTAGAAGCAGTCATAGTCCTAAGGAAATAATTACTAAATGGAATTTTATTTCTCCAACGTAGAAAGGTTGAAAATAGGAAACAGATAAGTAGTCATTCCAAGTGATTGTGAATTTGAGGTTTAACGTACAAAGTGGAGTATAACGCGATCATCCCTTCGCCTGGGTGCCCGTTTTCTGGGCAGCTCCATGGTTTTCTGCTTGACTTTGGCTACTGACCATGAAAGTAGCCTCCCTTCGAACGGCGCACGCCTTTCGGATGAATCGACTCGATGTGTGTGTGTGTGACTCCCGCCGCCTCCGGTCCTCTCGGGCGTTGTTTGGTCGTTTTGACAGAAACGGGGTAAGGATCCGGGGATTGGGGGCGTGTGGTGTCAGTTGTGAACGGTGCGGCCTGGGCAGAAAAGCACGGGGGGCGCGCGGGATAAACGGTCGCTTATCTCACGCCCCGAGTCGCCCGACCCGACAGGTACGGATAGTCCACACGACACCGGCGGCCGCTTCCGAAGGGCAGGAGGTAACACCGGTAGTACCTTGCCCAGTGAGGTAGGTAAGGCATGGAGAATTGAGTACTTACTTTCCGTCGGACTTTCCGCGCATGACTTGCTGCCCATCTCACCTTCTACCTTGGACAGTTATATGCCAGAAGCTGCGTCCTTCCGGGCAGGCAACGACCCAAGCGTCTCTCTAAAGAATGGAAGTACGAGAAAGTACATTTAGTTTCCCGCCTGCGCTTCTCGGCGCTGCAGATATCTCCAAACACCCAGTCAGATCACCCTTCTGATGCATGTCGACTCTTACAGAACCTCTCTGAAACCGCACTTGTCGACATCCGATCAACATGCATAGCTGATGCCAACAACTTTGCCTACCTTGCCTCGGCGCATTCAAATGTCGCCCTACTTTCGGATGCCCAGATGGGCGTTTCCGAACCACTGTCACCACAATCATTGGACGCCTTCTAGCATCCCAAACTGCCAAAGATACGCTCAGTCGTCCGAAATGTTCCAACCACCCGATCTCTTTCGCACTTGCTTGCCTGCCTGCCTACCTACTTGCCTATCTACCTAAACCTTTACGCTATACACGCATCGCGCGCCCGCCGCCGACGACGCCGCCGCTGCCCACACTCCACCAACCACCTCACCTATTACTGCACACCTATCCAAGTACACGACGACGAATCGCTCCAAGGCCCATCCCGAACGTATGACAACTAACCAAGACCGCCCCAAACGTGTCCCCTCTTCCGCTGCACGACACCCAGCCCGCCAGCCCACCGCTTCCCAAAAAGCGACCCTCTCCCTACTAATAAGGTAGCTTCTCAGAGGAAAGCGTAAGGCGTTCACCCCCAGTGCCCCCCCCCCCCATCCCTCTTCATGCCTAGCCAACGAGAAGCCGTCCATCTCGCATGACAACCCATCCGTAAGCTCACACAGCCCACACCACCTCCACTACCTACCTACCCTTCCCACTTCCGAATTACAGACTCCAACCGTAAGGAGGCAGGTAGGGGACCTCACAAAGTCACCGCAGGCCCGATAGCTGGAGAGACAAAGAGGGTCACGAGCAAAAAAACCCAGTGTGGTATCTCAGGGTAGCTTCTGCGTTGGTCACTGGTAAAACTGGAAGGAGGGGGGAATAGGCAGATTATTGAACCACGCCGCCGCCGCCGCCTCGCGCGCGGACTGAAGAAGTTGAAGAATAATAAGAACCCCGCTTTCCACCATCGTCTTCCATCGTCTCCCCTCCCTCTCTCTCGTCTCATCTTCGCAAATTCACAACAACTTGCTACTCACACAAGAAACACAAAAATCACCAACAACACATCACACAACCAAATCACCGCAAACATGCAGCCCATGACCAACGCCCACACCAGCGCCTGCCCCAAGTGCGGCGCCGCCACTGCCTCTACCGCAAAGACCTGCTCCTCTTGCGGCGCTGTAAGCCTCACTCACACTCTTCTAGACCTCTCATACTCGAACCCCTCATATCCATCACCTCGCCTCTCATCCGAACCTTGCGGCCCCTCTCTCCCCTCACTTCTAATCAACAAACATACAACTAACATATAATTGCTCCACACATAGACCTGCCCTGCGTAAAATTCAGTCTTTCAGTCTTTGCGAAATCGCGGCTCAGTAGCGAAATGCTATGCTAATCGCAAAAGAAATGTCATCTGACAATGTGGACTGAGAGTTGGACGAGACTTATAGACGGAATGGAATGAGATCGGGAACAGACCCCCACACTCCTTTACACACAATGCTGTGTTATTGTCATTGCTCATCCAGCCAACAAACGCACGGGGGTTCGGACAGGAGGTTCACCCAGTCTGAATCATGACTTGACTTTCCAGCTCATGTCGTGACTTCACCGTCGTCTTCTCCACTTTTTGACGAACCATCTCCAGAGAGACAAGACTTACTCTCGTCCCCCCCGTACGCATGAGAATAAACCAAACCAAATAAATACCCCCTTTTGAGAATTCAAATTCTATACATGCCCATATACGCGTTCCCGTAGCATCACACACTTAGTCCCCCTCGTCCAAATAATCAAGCAGGGCCATCCCCTTCATCAGAGGCGGGGCAGTGTCATCAACGTGACACCGCTACCCAACTTTCAGAGCAACGGCTACCATAAAACCATTCACCTATACGTCTTAAAGTCGCCTATGTTTAGAAACTCATTACCGTCATGTGCCGTCCTGTTGGTAAAAGGACAAACCAGGCAAGAGTCCAGTGGACTGCATACCGCGACTTCCATCCCAATAACATCACCGATATAACCCCGTGTTGCCTGGGCTACCTTACCTTTCCGTGTCGCGACCTCACACTTCGAGATCTGGTGCCTGGTCTCTGTCCATTTTTCATCTCATCTTTTATACCCCCTGACACGTGAGAATGACGGCGATGACGATGCTGTAGAGGAGCTAGAGCTGATGTCAGTGTGGATCAACTTTGCGACGGGCACAAGGCGATACAATAATCAATGCGAATGGCAATGGACGATCAGAGGGCGGTTTGAGTTATCAAAGACCTGGATTGAGAGAATCGACAAGAGAGAAGAAAACGCAGCCAGGAAACACATGTCCATCTCCGCCATCTAAAGCTGCGAGGCGTCAAAAGAGAAAAATAACACGACAAGATTTATGATGTAGCCGGATTCGTCGCAATACTACAGCCAGACGAGCCGATTCCACAGCTGAAGACCGTTGCCATACCGCCGTTCCCCGA